CTCTCTCTCTCTCTCTCTCTCTCTCTCTCTCTCTCTCTCTCTCTCTGTGCCCTGGTGAAGTTCGTCAGGGTTTGAGGATGTCGGTGGGGGGGTCTGCTCTCCTAGGCATACCCCGGAATCTCCAAAGTTTGGCTTTTTTTCATTTCAAAAAATGGAGGGGTTGCGCAACTTGCGCTGATGGGAGACGATCAAATGGTCGTTGTGTGAGGCTGTCTCGATCACCAGGAAAAAAGTGGGGCAGCTCTTGTATCATGCAGGTAGGAAGGCAGGATCTTTAGGACGGACCTTTTGAAGCTCTGTGAGGCAGACACTTGGCGCTACAGGAGATAGAAAACAGGTATGGTCTGTTTTGTGTACTATACGACGAATTTCGGTTTTGAGGTATCGTTTGCATTTTCGCCTTCAATATGAATGTGATTTTGCTCATTAGTGAGGAGGCTGCAGTATATCGTTTTTGTGTCGCATTTCGTGCAGACTGTGATGGAGCGCAGCACTTGCTATCTCTTTAGCGAAATATGGCAGAGCGCACATGACACGTACATGGACAGTGGACAGTGTCTCTGCGAGATAGTGGAACATGATGGTGGGAGTACTTGGGAAAGATTGTACAGGATACGTGACGGGTAGAACCTACTTTAGCAACAAGTTTGACGGGCGATTGTGGAGATCCGGGAATGGACGGTGATCGTGCATACCGTGTAAGCGTTTAGGTACAGGCGGGCGTCAAGTGCAGATTTTTACGACTGATTAGAAGCGACTGCGTGGATGGTCGGGCGGACTGAACGGTAGCAACAGTAGGAACACTAGAGTGGGAAATCAAGGGAGGGTAGATGACATGAACTGGGAGTATCAGGACTAGTCTGAGAAGCATCAATTGGTGGGTTTAAACTTACTGTAAAGTGTATTTAAGGAAGGGAAATATGTCTAAGGAAGGGAAATATGTCTTACCGATCATCAGATTATGGGATGTTTTCCAGGAGGAGGGTAAGGAAGAAAGCCCCTGAAGATTCTGTAGGGTACGGGGCAGCGAAACGCGTTGGCGTATGGCATACATGAACTGAATGTGTATTTTGATTGGAACAGCGTATTTTTCTCGGATGCTTTTCATGGACTTGTGTGCAGCATTCATTTGTCGACAACTCTTGGAATGTTGGGCAAAGCCCGGCAAACAAAAAACTTACTCGAAAACAAAACAAAATTCTTTTGAAGGCTCAAAATAAATTAAACAAAAAAAAACAAGGCCAGGTGGTCCTCTTCTGGTTCACTGGGATTTAAAGGATCTCGTTGTTCAACCAATTATGCTGCTCAAGCTACTGCTGACAATGTAGTGCGTGCTGCTATTCCATTAGGAATTAAGTATGACTGCTTTAGTTAGTCTCACCCGACTGACCAAGTGCTTACATACTATTCTGCTCCAGCGTGATTTCACGCTTTCCTTATCCCTTATTCTCTCTCTCTCTCTCTCTCTCTCTCTCTCTCTCTCTCTCTCTCTCTCTCTCTCTCTCTCTCTCTCTNCTCTCTCTCTCTCTCTCTCTCTCTCTCTCTCTCTCTCTCTCTCTCTCTCTCTCTCTCTCTCTCTCTCTCTCTCTCTCTCTTGCACACACACACACCACGGGAGAACATAATCATGTGACTGAATGTGAGAGTTAGGTCAGACCCACGCACATTTACTCGAGGTCATCTTTTGCTCGGCCCAAAAGGAGAAAGAAAAAGGCCAGACTATGACCACCACTGCGCCCGGCGGTAACTGCAGTGGGTTTTAATATTGCACATAACATGACTGCTGCAATATCATTAATCCACAATAAATCAGAATCGGACTCCGCATCCAGATGAACTCATCCATGTCAGCGACACCTCACGCATGCATTTGGCAAATTTTAGGTTCTCTCTGCACTGGGCAGCGAGCGATGAACCACCAAGAAAGAGTTTTTTTGTGTTGGAGGGGGGAGAAGGGGGGGGGGAGGGGATGGAGAGGGAGCTGCAATCAGACTCACTTTCATTCACACTTTGAACACTAACTACAGCTATGGCTATGGCTAAGCTCCGTCTCTCTACCCTATCGCTATGGCTAAGCTCCGTCTCTCTGCCCACTTCGTCTTCGGGCTCACTGCAGACCTCCTTGCACAAGTCGCTGTGGCAGCGCTTCCGCATGGCTCACGCAGGAATCAATGAATGGCTCGGCGCTGCCTCTTGATTTATACTTCTGCAGTGCGTTGGTCTGGCCCTTTCCCATGCCCGAAGTGCACACAGTCCCGTGCAGTACTTGCTTGACTGGACCAGGACTGCCTAGGACTGGGACTGCTGACTCAGCACGGGTAGACTCCACCACTTGCCTTACCACTTGCCCACTTGCCTCAGCTTAGACGTGGGAAACTTCGAAAGGCCACTGTTCGGACCTTCCGGAAGGCCACTGTTCGGACCTTCCGGAAGGCTGTAGACTTGGCCTTTCGACACTGTAGCAGCTGCGACCTTGACCTCTCTAGACTGCAGCGGTTACGACCTTGAATCTTCGGGAAGGCTACAGCTACGACCTCGAGACCTGACTGGGACTCCTATCCGACAGGTCTACAGATCGAACCCATGCTACCTATGGACCCTATGACAACCTACCAACTGCTACAAATACACAGGCCGCGGGTTCAACTCTACGGGTCGACACAGGTACTGTACACAGGTAAGGTGGGGGCTAGGGATCGAGCCCTGGGATCTGCATCAGCTACTGCGAACTGGTGAATACCATTTCACTCCCGCCGGCCTAAATTCGAGGTCCTCCGAGAGTAACTTAGTCCAGGCAGGACCTTTATCTCTCTCATAGGCTCTAACTATATCGGGAGCTGTTTCTAGAAGTTTTGATCTTGTGAAACAGCGGTCATCCTCCGGCTCCTGATAAGCAAACCGGACTTTATACTGTTTCTGTGGACGACCTCTACCTCCTGTTCTGAACACATCTTCACCTACAATGCCGTCAATGTCATATCTTCCGTCCATGTCTGGAGGGATCATGGACCGTCTAGATGGGAACTGTTGACTGGTGACACACGGCAGCAACTTTGATGCGTGAAACACGGGGTAGGTGTGGAGGTGTGCAGGTATCTCTATAGTGTAGGACGGCCCATCCTCTCCGCCCTTAACTTCTAGCACTGGTCACGGTCCTCGATAGGCGGGCAGTAACTTTTGCGAGATGTTCTCCTCAGGTGCAAACTCTTTAGGCTTGACCCAGACCAGGTCGCCTACCTGAAACTGCGATGGGCGACGGTGCTTATTAGCCTGTTCTATCATCCGGTGCTGGGCCTTCCTGAGGTTCTCAACAACAGTGGCTATCTCTTTCTCATGCTGTATCGCGAACTCCCTGGTACCGGGCGGTAACCTGTGAATCTGATCCAGGTTCAGTCCTTCAAACGGTCTACGGTCTAAAGGACTTGTGTAACTCGTTGGGAGTGCGACAGGTGGAAAAATGCACGCTGTTATTGTATGCACTGGCTACCTTGGGTAACATCTCGTCCCAGTTGATCTGATCAGGTCTAATGTACATGCGCAGAACTTGCTGCAGGATCTTGTTCATCTGCTCTGTCTGACCGTTAGTCTCTGGATGGCGGCCAGACGACATCAGTAACTTTGACCCATAGACTCTCATGAGTTCCTGCCAGTTCTGGCTGGTGAAGCGACTATCCCTATCGCTAACTATGGACAACGGGACTCCATGTTCACTAACCCAAAAATCAAAGAACTTCTAATTACTAACTCTGTACGCACCTCTGCAGGCAAAGGAACAAAAATAGCATACTTGCTAAACCTATCAACTACGACCATGACTTGGCTCTTGTCGTGCCTACTCTTGACACCGGCATCCATGAAGTCAATGGAGACTGAATCTCCAGGCTGGTCTGGAATGGGCAAGGGTCTGAGAAGACCTAGAGGGGCACGCGTTGTGGTCTTGTTCCGCTGGCAGACCTTACAGCTGCAGATGTACCCTATGCAGTCGCTCTTCATTCCTGGTCATGTGTACGCGTGCATCAGGTTGGCTAACGTCTTTTGCCAACCGAAGTGTCCCTCTGCATCATGGCATTCCCCTAGGATTAGACTACGGATCTCCTCACTGTTGGGAATGCACAGGCGGTCTACTACATTAGTCTTCTCGAATAACAAACCCTCTGTAGTGCGGTAATGTGGCTCTGTCTCTGGGGCCTCCTTGACTCTCTTGAGGAGGTCACAAGAGATAGGGTCCTACGCATACGCGTGTCTAACTTTCTCTTGCAGGTCACTCCCTATGTCCAGATAGTGAACTATAGCTCCAAAGTAGTCTGATCTCCTACTCAAAGCATCCGCAACTACATTGTACTTGCCCTTCACTGGCTTGAGCTCAAAGTCATACTTGTCTATCTCAGCAGCCCACATAGTCAACTTAGGTGTCATCTTGGCCTGTGTCTTTAACCATCTAAGCATCTCGTGGTCTGAGTACACCTTGAAGTGCCTCCCAAGCAGGTAATGCTTCCAATGCTCTAAAGCCTGCTCGAGAGCGTAGAGTTCTCGCTCATACGTCGAGGTAGCAACCTTCTCTGAGGGAATCCTCGCTGACATGAACTCTACGGGTCTATAGCCGTTGTTGTCGTCTTGCTGCAATACGGCGCCTATCCCATACTGACTTGCGTCCGTAGTGACGACAAATGGCAAAGACGGATCTGCTACCTTGAGGACAGGATACTCTATCAATGCACGCTTTAGTTTCTTTACCGCAGACGTACAGTCTTTATCCCAATGCCAGATTGCCTCTTTCTTGAGCAACCTGCGCAAGGGAGCGGCGATAGTAGAGAAGTTCCTCACGAACTTCCTGTAATAATTAGCTAAGCCCAGAAACGACCGCAACTTTGTCAATGTACGGGGCGTCGGCCAGTCTCTAATTGCCGCTATCTTACTGTCCTCAGGTTTGATTCCATCTCCGTCTAGTACGTGGCCCAAGTACAAAACTTGTGTCTTGGCCCACTCGCACTTCTTCGCGTTGATCTTGAAGTTAGTTTCTCTGAGCTTCTCCAAGACCTACCTTAAATGACCCTGGTGCTCTTGGAGGGTCCTACTGAAAACTAAGATGTCGTCTAAATACACTACGACGAATTTATCTAACCAGGCCTAAACAGGCCGTTTATACATCGCTGAAATGTGGCTGGCGCATTGGTCAGTCCAAAGGGCATCACTATAAACTCATAATGCCCATAGCGAGTCCGGAACGCACTCTTGTACTGGTCATCAGGGTGGACCTCTATCTGATGATAACTGGACTTCAAATCTATCTTGGAGAAATACTTACAACCCTGCACCCGATCTAAGAGATCGTCTATCCTGGGCAGTGGTTCAACATTCTTGACTGTGATAGCATTCAGACCCCTATAGTCTATGCACATTCGCAGCTCTCCTTCTTTCTTGGGGACAAACAGAACAGGTGCTCCAAAAGGAGACAAACTGGACCTAAACCAACCCTTCTCAAGGAGCTCGTCCAACTGCTTTCGGAGCTCCTCTAACTCTCTAGGGGACATCCTGTAGACCGCTCCCTTAGGAATTCTACTGCCAGGCTCTATCTCTATCCTGTGCTGGATTGGTCGCGGCACTACTCCTGTCGGCGGCTCAGATAAGTCTTTAAACTCTTCCAGCAGCTTGGCAATGGCTGGATCCGTGGAACTAACCTCTTCCTTAGGCTTAGTGGCAGGTCTAACATACACTATAAAAACCTGATCCTCTAACTGCTCCTCTTTCACTAATCGCGCGAACACGGGAGCACTGAGACGGCAATGTGCGAAGGTGTTGGCTACACCTGCCACATGGAATAGGCGGGTAGTCTTAACCTCGTCGGACGGACTAGGGAGCCTACACTCATGCTCTCTCAAGTGGAGCGTGGCCCCTGCTGCCTTTCCCCAGTCCATGCCTAGGACTATATCAAATGGAAGGTCATCCTGTACGAGGAGAGTCAGGGAATGGAGAACTTTTTCCACCTTCCCATCTTTCTCTAGGCGAAAGTACACCTGGACTCCCTCTACGCAGTCCTCAACACGCATAGTCCGGTTGTCTGCGAGGACACTGACTATGGGGTCTTCCAACTTCTAAGCTTTTAATCCTAGCCTCAACTTTTTCAGCGCTTTACAGCTAATGTAACTTCGGGTGGCCCCTGAGTCTATAAGGGCCCCAACTCTACTCCTGAAAACCTCTACATCTACTAGTACTATCTGCCCTTTGCTATCTTTCTTCATCTTGGCTCAGGCAGGCATCCTCTCCTTCAATTCTTCTGCCACGCCTGTGAGGGACGTGCCTAGAGAGACGCTGACACAAGCAGTCTCTGGACAGCTAACTAGGCACGGGCCTGCAACCTCTGTCGAAAGCTCATGTGGTGTGGGAGTTTCCTCTACGCACGCGCTCGCTTCCCCACATGGCCAAGAAGTAGGGGCAGTTGCGACTCCTTCCGGCGGCTGCCTTTTGACTCTTGGGCAGCCCACCGGGCCTGTCTATATTTAGGTCAATATTTGATGATATGGGCAGGGTCACCACAACAAATGCACTGCCCCTGCTCCATTCGCTGCCGCCAAATTTTTTGGTCCAGGCCCAGATCTTCCCAGGGCCGGCCTTGTGGCCAGCCTAGGTGCCAACCTCCTGACCTTTGAGGTGACCTGCCACCTCGTGGCTGTGGGGACCGACTAGGACCTTGGCGATTCGGCAGGGGACCTTGACCCCTACCTCCCGCTTGACGGTTTCCTTGACCGCCAACCCCCTGTGCGCCCGATCCTCGGCCTCCCATGGCCTGGCCCTTTTGGCCCTGGCCTCTCCTCTACCTTGAGGCCTCCCTCCAGCCACGACAGCAGCATAGGACCTCCCCTGTCCCACGCTACTGTCCTCCTCCTTGAGGCCCCACTCAATCTGACTGTACGGGACTTCGTCAGTACCACCTTCCTCCAATGTAAGGATCATATGATCCTTGGCCCTGACTTGGCCAGAGATGGTACGGCCTTTCCACTTTTTGCCCTTATCTAAGTCTTTGTGCCAAAAAGTGGAAACTGGCATCGACTTTGCCTCAAACAGCACCACTTCTCTACTGAGCGCATCATACGTCATAGTGGGCTGTTGGGACTTGTCGAAGAAGTGCCCTCGTAAGGGCTCCGGCATGGCACGATAGAAAAGTTGGACCAGTTGGGACTCAGTCACCCCATGGTCCAGGACGGCCACCAGGTCGTCCATAACGGCTTTGAGTGCCCTGGCACTCCTCCACTACCGTGAGTGGATGGTTTGGAGTTTGTCAGAGGCTCTTACGCCCCTGCGGAGATCAGCAAACCGCTCCCTAAGGAGCTTGAAGAATTGAGGGAGGGGGGTGACTTTGGAATAAGCGACCATGTTGTTTTCGCAACCGGCCGCACGCACGAGGGACCTAGCGAAACTAGCTGCTTCCTCCTTGAGGGCTTGGAAGGCTACAAGGACCTGATCGTCTTATACGATATGCTGTAAGTAAACATAACTGTTTACACTAGCCTCCCAGTTATCAAAATTCTCCTCAAGCTTCCCGCCATACGCGTTTGGGAACTTAAGCTTAACTGGGTCCTTGCGGGGTCTGGCCTCGCTCTCAACGGTGGCTACTGCTTCGGCACCCTCAATGGCGCCTTCACAGAACTTCCCCACGTTATCTCTCAACCGCCTAACTTCGGCCCCAAACTCTCGAAACCTTGACCGTATGGCATTCAGGGCCACATCGTGACCCCAGTTGGTTTGGCGTTCCTCCAACCAGGCCTCACTCAATACCTCCAGATACCCCAGCATCTTGTCCATTTTGGCAGAAACATCTGCCTGCACCTGCACTTCTTGCCTACAGGCTCTTACCTTCTCCACCTCTGTGGTCAACCGATTAACTTCCTCCCTCCTTCTCTTCTTTTCCCTCTTCATTGTCAACTTCCACTCCAACTTCTTCTCCTCCTCTGTCTCCTGTCATTCCAGGGGGTCCTCAATTGTGCTAGTGCCCTGGCAAACGCCTCCTTCTCCTCCTGTGGCACATACAACTGTGCCTCCTCATCTTCCCCCAACGATAAATTGGCTATCCACTCGCTGATCTTCTTCTCCATCTCTCCATCCTCATTCGTTGTGCCACTACTCTCCCTTTCTCTTCCCTGCGTCTTCTCTCTTCTGCTTCCTCTGCTGCCACTTCTTCCTCGGCATCTTTTTTCTTCTCCTCCATCTCCTCCTCCAATTTCTTCATTTTCGCTGCCTGCTCCTTTGCGATCGCTTTCAATTTCGCTTGCTCCAGGAGCTCTTTCCTCTCCCTATTCTCTTTCACTAAGGCGGCCATCTGCTCTTGTTGTGCCTGGGTATAGGGGCTAGTGCTCGTCCCACTACGGGTGTCAACCATGGTGATTAGTGCACAACCGGGTTAACGGTTCCAAACCTCACCACTTAAGACTCCAACCCCTGGCTGACAAACTTGCTGACTCAATCTAAAGACTCACAGAATTCGGACAGGGATCCTGTCAACTAGGGTCTCTAACCTAGACCTACTAAGGCTGTCACTACTAGACATCAGGAGGCATTTAAGGAGATCCCCCGTAACTCCTCAGGATTTATTTAACGTCGCAAACAGGACGACGCGATCAGCAGGTTTCTCAACACTTAGACTGCCTGTTGTGCAGCCCACAACTCATCTTTTCGGGCCTACCGTGCCACACCGAGCAGCCCGCCGGTCTGTACCGGTCCTTGGGAGGGTTCGTGTCCTCCGGGACAGTCGAGTCGTCAGACACAGTCTTTAGCCCTACTTAGTCCGACAGGGGTTTGGTCAACGAGGCCCTATCCTTTATCCACAGAGTTCCTACAACTAGACAGAAGAGACTCAATGCAGAAAGAAGAGACAGACAGACTTGACTCAACAAGTACCACAGGGTGTATGCACATCCATAGGGCGAGGGGTAGGCTGAAGGCTTGGCGAGATTATACCGGCGCCAACTTGGTCAAAATTGTGGTCAACGGTCTTGGTCAATGCCTTGGTCAACATTGGTCAGCACCTCCAGTCAACTCCCGGTCAACACCGATCAACGCCCGGTCAACGCCTGGTCAACGCCTGGTCAACGCCTGGTCAACGCCTGGTCAACGCCTGGTCAACGCCTGGTCAACTCCGGTCAACTCTCCCAGTCAACTCTTCCAGTCGGCTATGGTTGCCGGCTTCTCCTTCCTCAGCACCCTTCTCCTTCCTTTCTCCTTCCTCGCC